GCGTAGGTGAAAAGAAACTAAAAATGAACAGATTTGATGGATAAAATAAAAAAATAGTTATGCATGGAGTCGTATGAAATAGAAAATGTGTGATTGGCACCAAAAACATGGTGAAAGAAGGAAAAAATCAAAAATATTGGGTGCCCAGTTCATGAATTATTGGATGAATTAGTGGAAAAATGCGGGAAAATGCCAATTTTTTGTGGAAAACCGCTCATTTTAGAATTGGTGATAGAAGCAGAAGTACTGGGTCCTATTATTCAGCGCACAGAGAAATGCGAGTTAGCAGAGGTACACAGCGAAATATCTGTATTTGATAGTACCGCGCGAAAAACTGCGAATACTTTACCGGTGCTGTAGATGAGAGGATTGAGCTGTGGGTTACGTTATCTCAAATAGCTGCTGAAGTTTGTGTTTTCTCTTTATTTGAAGAGGCAAGCTCCTGGCAGATGTTTAAGATAGTTTGAATTTTGGGAAGTTGGGGAAATAAGAAACAAAGAAAGCTTTTCGGACTTCTCTGCACTATAATTTTTGTGTGTGATTTTCTTCAACAGAAAGTTATAACAGGAAGGAATAAAAGAGGAAAAAGGAAAAAAAAGTGAGAAATGAAAATTAGAAAATTTGTGAGATTATTATAATGGTAAGAAGTGTTTCGGTCCATTAAGTCATACACATTTCTACGCTATTGCACCTCGTCAATACGATAATTATGGTAATTGAATTTAGTGAAAATCACGTGTTTTCAGATGGCATTGGACAGAGATGACCATGAATATGTGCTCGATTGGGCTTGCCATTACTACCTACCAGATGATCCTGTTTTCATTGAGGTCACTTCATAAACGTTTTATTTAACGTTGAATATAAATCAAGTAAAATACAGAGGGAGTTTTGTATTTTCTAGTTCTCTCATTTCGTTCGAGTGTAGTCGGTGAGAATGCGTTGTAAAAGCAATGCGGCAAATACAAATAAGGAGTAAAGAAGGACAATCCCCTTCTCATTATTCTATCTGCTCAACGCTTCCATATGTGATATGCAAATGTCCCGTCTCATGACTCGAGTTGCCTTCGTGGCATAAAAAAATCAAATCATTGACATTGATAAGGTGGTGTATTACCAGTCAGATAGTCTTATTTGGTGGCAGCGGTGAATTGCTGCTGTCAGCTAATACCGCACCAATATCGTTTTTCCTTGGTGCTTAGTAAAGTAAAAGGCAGTACGGGCCATAAAGGCCCTGTAGGCGAAAGGAAAAGGCTAGTAACTGAGGGGCAGGAACAAACTGCATAAGTACAGAAGCTTAAAAGTTACTAACTGCATCTGGAAGTGTTTTGGAAATTTTTGAAAAATGTAAACTATGAAAGTTTGTTTGGCGCTGTAGGCCAGCCGATGGAAGGGACACAGTCGAATATTGTCATTTGTGGGAAAGCAGTGAGTGCTAATTCAGATAC